AGTATGTTGTAGCTGAGACTATTTGCTATCTAAATATTTCCTCATTTTTTTCAATCAGATGGCAGGATCATGCTCATACTCATCATCGTCATCATCATCATCAATATCATCATCATTATCATCAATGTCACCATCATGATCATCATCATGTTCATCATGATCATCATTGTTTACATGTCTATATAACTTCTCCCATTCTCAAATCTATCATGAGACTTAGACAGACCACCTTATTCGTCTTCGTGACGAATTAAATTTCTAGTTCTCATTCTTTTCTCTTTCTTTCTCCTTTCATCATTATTCACGTCACCTGCTGTTTGTCCTTTTTTGCCCTTTGTAAAGCCAAAGGCCTTAAAATCCAATTGATGTGCAGGGCTGCATACAACTCATATTTCGTTATTCAAACATCTAAATATATTTCATAGATTTGTTAATACTTTTTAAAACAATAACCAGAGCTGACCACCTGTTTACAATAGACTATACAATACCAACATAGGGGTTGCTAATATGTCAGACGTGCTGTAGCATCACCAGGAAAAGAAAGGTAATGTGGAGGTATTGTATGAAAGACTGCAATTCTTTGTGAGCATGTGCGGAGCAGGGAGAAGCTACATACCACTGTCTCTTGTTAGCTCACTAACGATTGACAGATGATGTCACGAGATGAATGTGGAGCTTAGCAAGTCTGAGAAAATTATTTTAAAAAATATTCAAAAATCTATGGAATATATTTAGATGTTTGAATAACAAAATTTGAGTTATATGCAGCCCTGCACATCAATAGGACAAAAAAAAACTTGTATTTGGATTTCACCCGACCGATATCCATCGTACTAGTTCACTCTGTAACAAGCAGCAAAATAAGACAAACACTGTGTTTTATGTATATATATATTTTAATAATATAACTCTCTTATATATCATACATCAATTATGTACATGTACACTGGCCCCAACAATCAGCATTTCAATATTTTGATGTCGCTCATAAGGCATCTTGAGACTAAACTAACCTTTTTCTGTAGAAATACACGATTATACTAGATTTATTCTAGACTTGACTTTGACTTAATAGCAAATTCCAAATTTAAGAACACCTGAAATGTCATAAACATTATTTTATTTGAAAAGCCATTGCGGAAATCTAAAATTTTTCTTTCTTTCACAACTACACAAAATATTAAAAAGGATTTTGCAAGCTGAGTCATCATGCAGCCATTTAAAAAAAAAAAATTAGTTTATTTTAATGTTTTACTTCATTCTAGATTTAAAGAAAATAATAAGCAGCTGTTTTTAAATATCTTGCTATTTTGTAATCTAAAAATAATTCAATTGGTCTTGAGGGCTTATATCTTGCTATTTTGTAATTTAAAAAGAATTCAATTGGTCTTGAGGGCTTATTAGTACTATACAGGGAACTTAAATGTATCATTTAATTTGGAAAGTTTGTAAAATCATTCAAAAATGTGATGGGATATAATATTACCTATATGGAAACAATGATATGTCATTCCTTGGAAGTTATTATTAAAAAAAAACTTTTATTTTCCCCTTACATTAATTATTTTTCTTAAACTTTTGAGATTTGTTCTTATATCCTAGAAAAAAATCAATACAATGTTAGCATCTTTAAAACAATGTCAGCATATTAAATACGTGTACATCGAGAATTTCTACTCCATCCGTGGAACCAGTATGAAAAACTTGGTGGTATCATTCATGAGCTTTTGTGTGCCACAAATTTTCAATCACAAATAAGATTTCATGATTTTTTTTTTTATAGTTCCCTTTCCATGGAGCAGCTTGATACAAACGGTATTCCATGATGTGCAACTTCAAAGTGAATGAACCATTTTTGAATTGCAGGAAATAAGAAGGTTTCTTGCATGTAGATTGATTCTGAAGTGCATATTCATTAGAGCAAGACCTCTCACCTAATGAGCTAGCAATGCATAATTCGGTATAAAGTAGCACTTACATAAATCTTAGTTTGGTCCTTCCCCTTGCTCTTTTCCTTTTGATAAGCATAAGTTATACTTATCCTCCTTATTAATTTAACCTTCTCCAATTATTTGTTGTTGATTCTTGTCATCGAAATCCAGAACCTAAGGTTAAGTTTTTGAATTGTTGATATAATTTTGAAAGTTTAAGTTCTTAGTCAATGAAACTTTGACTATATGGTTATCAAGTATCCCCAATCATGTGAGCAGTATTTCAGGTCACTAATTTAACGTCAAAGGTCATTTTAGGTCAACAAACTTAGCCTTTGTTGTGGCATCAACATCAAGATTTTGAATTTTTAGCATATTTTCAAAATTGTTTGTTCAAATTCCATGAAACTTGTACCCAAGGGTTATCAAGTATCACATATCATATGACACAAATTCCAGGTCACAAGGTCAAAGGTCATTTTAGGTCAATAGACTTGGGTTATGTTTTCACAACTTAATATGAGAATTAATAAATCAATTTTTTGTATTAATTTGTTCATATTTCATTCAAGTTATCGATCGTGGTACAATTAATAGTCAAAATTTCTTCTGATGATTCTTAGTCAATATTCACTTCAAAATGCTGATTAAATTCAGAGGATTTCATTTTGTGGGGCCTGCTAATGGGCCACCTTGCCTATAAATAATGTTCCAACCACAATTTTTCATCATATCAAATTGCGTAATGCAGGCGAGACCGCCGAGAGCGTTTCCCTTGTTTTTGTTAAGAATTCCTGAGTTCTGCCAATGATTCCACTTTTCTGAGGTAATTATCATGTCAAACAATCTTGTTCACAATCATGAAAGTACTGATTCATTATCTATGTTACACCAGGTAGGGTAGATGTGAGCACAATGTTGAAGTCTTGTTGAATTGATAGCACAAAACCATGACAACTTATTAAATAGCATCGACACAATTATGCAAAGACGAGGGTTTTTCCGTCCTGACAGAGAATTTGTCCCCATATGTTTTGTCTAATTTCTTGTTTGTTTGATTTTTTTTTTTAAATCCGTTTCTTCGTAATTGCTTTGTAGGTATTGTTACTCCTCCTCCCTGCATCTTTCATGTTTTGTTTTAATTCATTTGAATATATAGAAATCACATTTTGATAATTATTTACACCAGAACTCACAATTTTTTTTTAAAGAATTGTAAAAGAGTATCCTTTTGAAAAAGAGAAATAATATTACAACCTACACAGCATCATTTGCATGCAAGTGTGTTAATATACCAACATACTGCAAAATAACATCTCAAAGATAATAAATTAAAGGTTTCAAGTTTGTAATATACATTATATTATGTACATGTACTCAAGGGAAACAGGAAAACTGGCCACTGTAGGCATGAAGCCCTTTTAGACAACCTAAAGTTTACAGATAGCACATGGTACAAATGGCCCCAAATATCCACAGATCTTTTACACATGGAGAATTTCCACTTTGAGCATCTTAGAATAATAACTGCCAAAGTCCTAGATGTGCTTCATGAATACCTTTTGTTTGTCCTCTTGAAAAGAATACTTCTACCTGCGTATCATAGAATGTACCGTTAGTGCATAAATGAATAATGTTACATAACTTTCATGAGCGCATAATCCAGTATTCATCTCCGTGGGTTTTACCATTTTGGTACAAATGACCTTTATCTGCCCATGCGCAGATTGTATCTATGAACTGGCTTATAGGGAGTCGTTATAGATCTAGGTGATCACTAAAGAGAGGTGGCCTTTATACAGAGGTAGCAACTTAAACGGGTTTCACTGTACAATATCGCCAAATATCAATAAATATATATGCATTACAATTTGATGAGTATATTTAAAAAGTCCAGGCTCTATATACTCCTCATATTCATTAAATAGCAATTTCAAAATCCTCTTAGGAAATATATATGTATATTTCTCCTTTCAACTGAGCCTGACGAATACGACGAATACGAATATTGCCAAATATAAGACATGTGACGTTCATGAATAATTGATAAATTCCCTTCAAATGGAATAATTTCTGTAATTACTCATGCACCATTAAGTGATGTAAGTAGAACTTTTTAAAGGAGATAAATCGCCGGAAATAATTTTTATCTGTTTCTTTGGTTTTTCATGATGAAATGCCAAAGTTTAAGAAATGACCTTTCAGTGATGTTATGTTTTGATCTGATGATCCTGATTGTTTAGTCTGAGTTACAAAATAATGAAGCACATGCTGAAAATTCAAAAAAAACACAAATTTTGAATCCATTTTTGTTGCAGTACAATGTACATTTTCAATTACACTTTTGCATTCAATATACTTTTTAGAAAAAACTAGGAAAGAGGGGGGGGGGACACAAATAATTGGTGCCACTTTAAGGAGGAAAAGTTGATTAATTTTCACCTTGAGAAAATTCTGAATAAACTTAAGAGATACTGCATTTTTCGAAAACCTAAATCAAGTCTCTAGATAAGCTAGAGCAGCGTTTTTACACCTTTTTATAGTCGTGCAACCTAATTCCAAATTCATTAAAGAAGATTCAAGTTACTCTTGTACTCGTCAAGTGCCATGTACATTTGTAGGGTGACATTTGTTTCTAAAATTTGTAAGCGAGCGAACAGAAAAGAATGAGGTTTTCAGTAGGGTAAAAATGTTATTTTGTAATCAAAACACACAGGATAAGATATTAAATATGTATCTCGGCAACTAGTTGCTGAATACATGAATAGAAATATCAAATATCCGGTCACCTCTATATCTTGTGAGTGAGCAAAACAAGCGAGAGAGAAAACGAAAGGTAGACACTTAAATATCTTATTTCTTCATGAATACGAGTGTTTTCTAATAATTTGTCATCACAAAATTGATGTTTACTTAAAAATTGATCCAAATTGGATCTTTAATTAGTTTTCTCATAGTAGTTAAAAAAAACGCTGATCAAGGATAAATATACTATTAGTGAGTAGTCTAGTCAATGAATTAAGTGTGGGCATTATGACAATTCCCCCCCCCCTTATGCTTTGAAATCTTACTGATCATGTTCTACTCGTTTTCAGAGGGGGATGCTTATTTTATTATAATGGTATAATTTGTGTAGGTGATTGTTTCCCTTTTATTTTTGTAGGCGATTGTTTTCACTTTTCTTTTCAAGGTGATCAATTAATTCTTTCCATCCCAGAGGCAATGAAATAAATATATACGTCCATAGTTATAATTGAAAGAAAATCCATTTTGCAACATAGTTTGGTTGTGCTAGTTGAAGGCATTGTTGGTTCACAGTACTATCATGGGCTGAAGACGGCTAACATTTTATTCAGCCCGAAAATGTCCGTGCTCTGGAGAAGAAAAAAAAGGGGAGGGGGGGAGGGAGGGAAGAATGAAAGAGAGAAAAAGTACGAAAAGTGTTAAATATGATTAGTCTTTTAAATTCATATCTGCTTTGCATTGTTTGATGAAAAATTGTTGAAAGGCGTGGAGATTACACAATTTTATCTAATTATGTGCTCCAGTCTGTTTCATTATTACCTAAGAATTGCTAATGGGCTAATTTACCTGCCCTTCTTGCAATATTCTTTTCTTCTTCCCTTAATTCCAACAGTTCTTTTTTTTTTAATCACCCAAAGACAATTTTACGGACTTTCCCCTGCATCTATATATCCAATATTTCATTGCAAAAATAATTGTATTTAATATCTTTATTCGTGGGGAATTACCGGACAACCCTGAATGAATATCCGTCCAATCGACATACCCTAATTCATTTAGCTCAAACTTAGCTATTACATTCTGCTATAACCTTTGAACATGTACACATTCCCAGAACAGGTGTAAATATGTTTAAATCTTTTGCTTACAAAATGATCACAAGTTATCTTCAACAAAGCCGAATCTCAATAAGTGTTCTCTCGTATATATTGCTCCATGAAGCAGTTTATATTGAATTTCGCTTAGTCTGTGAACAAGAGTAAATTTCCTAGGCCTCCTCAAAAGCTCCCTATATACCTCATTTAAAAAATCTGAAAATCCCCGTCCATCGTGAATCTTCAAAACAAATAGATTTTGTAACTTCTCTATAAAATATTCATTAAACCTTCCTCGATAATAAATCTTTGAGGAGCTTCACAATACCTTTGAACTGCATTAAAATATCATACTTTTACACATCCACTTAATTCCAGTCATCCTTTCTTCCGCTTCTCAAAATAGCTTCCCCAATATTTCATACATCAACAATGTTGTTTCCTTTTAACCCCAAATGTTGAAAATGAGATATTGACCGCATGTAATTTTCGGCAAAATTAAATTGAACTGAAATTAAATTGCATTTAAACAAATCTTCATCAATTTTTAATTTTTTTTAAATAAGAAATTATTATTGTTGGATTGTTCTTTTCTTCGAAATTCCTACAACTTTCTAACTATCACTTCCCATGCTTTTATCATTTCTAAATAGAACTTAGGTACTTTGAAACTTAATAACTTGGAATCATAGTTACACAAGAAAATAAATCTACCTCCTATTATCTTGAAGCAGAAATCCAAGTATAGCTTCCATCTCATTGATTTTTCTCCGTACAATAGTCTTTTCACCCACAATACGAGTTGGGTTTTTACAAACGAGTCAAAGTTAGTTATTCGTAACCCCCCTTTATTATAACCTTGATACAATATTAATCTCTTGATTCGATCTTTCCCATTCCAAATGAATTCAAAACATATTTTCTGTATTTCCGATATGACCCACTTTGGAACCACTATTGAAACAAAAACGTAATTTGATTCACAAAATGCATATGTTTTTTAATAAATGAATTTTTCCAAACAACGTTTGCTTAAATTCTCCTATAATTCAGTTCCTCTCTTATTCGGACGTCTAACGCAATATACATTCCCAAAATCATAATTTCTTTAACCAAATGGAAGTCTTTGGGATTTGTCTCCGCAATTTCATTATCTTATTTTTTCCGCATTAACCCGTAAACCACTTATTTTCTTAAATGACATGAAAGTCTCCTTTACTCTTTCTACAGATTCTTTATTTCTAACAAATATTGTCATATATATCATCTGCATATTAAACTTGTTTGACTTCAATTCCTCCAATATTAACGCCTTTTATAACCTCATCATTCCTCACTACTATTGCCAATATTTCAATAGCGAGATTTGGGCGCACACAAAATGTGGACACACTCACCCACATATTAACACACAAACACACACACACACACACGCACCCACCCATACATACACACAGGGGCGTACGCAGGATTTTTTCAAGGGGGGGGTTTTAAAATATTTTGCTCCCGAAAATTTGAAAATCGCGCCGGCCGAAAAGTCGCTCAGTGGGGGGGGGGGGGGGGGGGGGGGGGGGGGGGGGGGTAAGCGGACACTTTTTTTTTTTTTTTTTTGGAGGCCAAAAAAAAATCGCAACGACTCAGCCGGCAGAAAAGTCGCTCAGTGGGGGGGGGGGGGGGGGGGGGGGGGGGGGGGGGGGGGTAAGCGGACACTTTTTTTTTTTGTCTCAAAATTTCAAAATTTGACATTTTTTTACGTATGGGGGGGGGGGTATAATTTTTTTTTTTTTTTTAATAAAAAAAAAAAAAAAAAAAAGCCAAAGGGGGGGGGGGGTTTGAACCCCCAAAACACCCCCCCTGCGTACGCCCCTGCATACACAGACCCACACCCATCGACACATACAGACGTACACCCACCCACCCACAAACACAATGTGGGCATGCACACTCACCCACATTATGCACGTAGAAACACTCACTTACACACGCAAACTCACGCACACACACATTTTTTTTTAAAGAAAAAGCTTTGGAAAAAGGCCTTTTATAAGGGATGAGAGAGAAAAATGTTAAAAAGTAATGCATCTCATCACCCCTACTGCTTACCGGGTATACTCTCAATAAAGTTGTGATCATTCCGCTGCAGCTGCCGGGGCTCAGTACTATCACATGATGTGTAAATACCGCACCCATGCGCTCCATTCTGCTGGTTTCTTTTGCTCAACCCATCCTCCAGGGCGTCGCTTCGCCCTTCCTCCTCCTCCTCCGGGCAGTAGCCCCGATGGCGTACACCAATATGTACGCCCATCCTGTCCTGCTCGCGAAGTAGGTAGCATTCGTTGGCGTAAGAGACCCCGTTGATACCGCAGAGTGGGTGGAGCCCATTGGCGTAGCAGGGGTGGTTAATAGAGTTGCCGCATCTCCGCAGCCCACCGCCCTGTTTGTTTCTCTGTCGGAGACCGGTTTTGCAGCGGCTTGTTTCTGTCAATTAATCAGAAGAAAGTGGATTTTAAAACGATAATAAATATGGAAGGCCCCTCCTAATTCATATTACTTACAATCTATATTCGAAAATTTCAGGAAAAGAAATGTCTTGTATTAATGTTTTCTTTGATTTTTAAAGAAAAGAACTGCCTTAAATGTCTAAAATGTTCCTATTTGTTAATGAAATTTTATTACCAGTTATTCTTATTGGGTGTCTCGATATCCGAAACAGTCTGCCTTCCGCTAATTACAGTCTCCAAGTATCGAAAAACAGGTCCTTTAAACGTTTAAAAACGTTATGGACCTATATCTCTTGTACTTTATAACCAAGGAATCATAACAAAATATATCTGGAAATGAAAATAAACAGAATTGGAATGAAATTTGGCCATTGTTTTTAAACAAGAATATTCCTACCTCTGGATGATCTTTGGCTTTTTGAATTCCGGATGCTTTGGTCGTCTTGGTTTACATCTTCGTGATCGCCATCCTCTTCATCGCTGTCATCCACGAGTGGCTCCTGGGTCATTACAAAGTTGGTCGTAATGTCCGTCGTCACATCGGTTGTGTTGTTGAAGTCCACTTCAAGCTCCTCATCGCTGACCGAGGAAGAAGTCAAGGCAATCGATGAACCCGAAGATGAATTCGTCTTCGTCGTCGTCGTCGTTGATGGTGCGACATCGGAGGCGGCGGGCATGCATTCTTTGCCGCACGTCGACTGGCAGCATTTCATGTTCTCATTTTCCACGCAGTGTGCGTCATGTATACAGTCCGTTCTCAGGCCCCCAAATCGGCAAAATGGCCAGAAGTCGTAGACGTTCGTCGGTGTAGGGCACCTACCTGGCCGGGTGTGAGGAACTGGAGGTTTCAATGAAATGAGAGAAAAAAACAAAATAACTTTAACCAATTGAAAACGATACGTATTTGGACGTTAACGTTAAACATAATATGGTAGCATTGCTATTGTTGAAAATCATGATCGAAATTCTGTTTAACGATTTAAATCGTGATTAAAACTCTTAAAAATAATTCGTGAGCAGATTTGCATTTTTTGTGTTTTACCTTTTGGCCTTGAAATTTCATTCTACAATTTATCTGAGTTGCAAAGATAGATAGGGACAGAGAGAGAGAGAGAGAGAGAGAGAGAAAAGAGATAAAGAGAGAAAAGGTATTAATACCCCGGAAAAGAAACAAAGAAAACGATAGGACCTCTCTCTTCAATAATTGATGACTTTGCTCTTTGGGGTCTTATCTAGCTTGTAAATACACCAAGAAACTTAATAGCACCGCGGAGAGAGTGATTCAATTTCAAATCCATCTCTTTACAAACATTCATATACCTATATTTCATAACGCAGCTTTTAACAAGCCAAAGACAGGAAAATACATATTTTTTAATGAGAATAACAAAGTAATGCGGAATGAAAACAAAGCAAAAAGTAATTTATCAGTGACATCAGACATCCATTCTGCCTACTTTTTTCTTTCTCTGATGGTTTTAATATTCATTGACGAGCGAGCGAAGCGAGTGATGAACATTTTAAGGTTTGGTGAGGTCGCAGCGGGAAAAATTACACCTTTTAAAGAGGAGTATCATCTATAAATGCGAGCGAGCGAGGTTTGGGGAAATTGCTCAAAGTCGCTTTAAATTAGGGACACGTTTAATGATGAGAGGAAAAAGGGATATGAAATTTATTAGAAAAGAAAAGGGGCACTAGTTAAAGTACAAATGATAATTATCAAAGGTTAAAAGGGACACTTCTTACACCTGAAAAGAGGCACTTAACCTAATTGCAAAGGAAAGTGGGAACATGTCGAAGGAAAAGGGGCACGTGTCAAAATTAAAGAGGCACGTATCAGAGGTGAAGGGGAAAAGGTACTCTTACTGAGTAATAGGGGCACTCGTCAAAGTAATAGGGGCACTTGTCAAAGTAATAGGGGCACTTGTCAAAGTAAAAGGGGCACTTTTCCTATGTAAAAAGGGGTACTTTTGGGGTACTTGAAAAGGGGGGTGGGGCACTGTGTCCCCCTGCCACCCCGGGGGCGCCGCTTCTGATATATAAATACATATATTATCTTCTAACCTACTGGAGTCGCCTGGCAAACCTGACCGCATCTCTCCGTACACACACACTCATATCTGACCCTGAGCGTTGATAGCCCGCTACAATCCGATGTATTGGAGCATTTACGCCGACCTGAACACCTCGTCATGTTGATAAGTCCACCCACTCTTATCTGCTGCCCATCGCTGCGAGCGGGCGGGCATACACCTATGAAGACGGACAAAATACCAATATTAAAAAAAAAAAACAATTAACATGATACTGATTAAATTAAATTAAATGGTATCACTCATCGGCTCTTTGAAATTTTGATTTAATATTTGAGTTTATAAAGTGATGGATTATACAAGAAATAAGAAACATTTAAGAAACCGATACTTGAATTTAACATTAACATCATCCATATCATAACGTTATTATCTAATTAAATAATTTTGATACCTCTACTTTGTTCTTTCATGCTACTTTGTTCTCGAAAACTATACATAAACTTGTATAATATGCGCGCAAAACAGTTATTCATGTCGAATGGACGACGGAATAACTTGCCATTGGAAGTCAGGAAATCACCATCTATGAATATCCTTAAATCAAAACTGAAAGCACATCTTTTCAATTAAATGTAAATTAAGCATATCATGAGCTCCTGTAGCGCAGTAGAATATTTACTTAATGATGGAAAGTTTCTGCGCTCTATGAATGTATTATTATTATTATTATTATTATTACAGTCAAACCTGCTTTAGTGACCACCTGTCTACAGCAAGCACATTTTCTGTTTCACTTGAAAATGGTTTCTCATTGAAACATGTACTAAAGGAACCTGTCTTCAAAGACTACTTTTTGTGTTTCCCTTGGGCGGTCGCTATAGACAGGTTTAAATGTATTATCATTATTTTGATCAATGAATTATTACTTACAGACCATACCGCACTGGGAGTTGCATTCACATTTGAAACCTGGTGCTGAGCAGTCACTGTGTGTCCCGCACGTGGTGTGTAGATTGCACCGTGATGGTTCAGACGAACCAAAGATTTGAAACACCCCAAACACTCTACACGCTGGTTGGGCATCTGTGTGTGAACAAATGCAAGTGAAATATATCGAAAATACCCTTTTCACAACTTTTCATTCCATTGTTAATCTAATTTACAGTCTGTTGAAGTAGAATTATGTCATGTATACAGAGTATATATTGAGTTAACACATATTAACCCCCCCCCCCCCCGGTAAAAAGAAAAAATACGTTATGTTAGAAAATATCTTTTGAGTTAATGGTTCATTAATAGTGTTAAAAAGAAGCGTGTTTATCATGGTTAATTTCCTGTCACAATGTTGGCTATAGTACGTAAATAAGGTTAATACGTAACATATAGGATGTGCCAAAATTGAACTAACCTTGCCCCCTCCCAAACAAAAAAAGGAAATAAATGAATGCATAAATAAATAGATTTATTAGATAACTAAATAAATAAAATAATAATAACAAAAATAGAAGAAAACAAACACAAGAAATCAGGTTTGACTGCAAATGTCGTTCGAATCACTGGGTCGTCATTTTTAAAAGGTATATCAATGGAAAGAGTGTTTATGCCTCCATCACAAAGTAGGGCAATTTTGTAAGGGTTACATTACGTTAGCCTGATACATCCTATAACGTCAAAAGTTGCCCAAAATATTCGGAAAGTTCAGTTTAGCTAAAAATATATTTCGGGTTATTGGATTATTATAAATCTTATTTATAATCAATGAAAAGCATAACAGAAAGCATTGTTAGTATGATAAATAATCCTTCAAATGGAAAAAGTGTCCGAAGTAAAATCTTATAAAGAATGGCTACTGTCAAAGGTGTTATCTCTTGTATTGTCTCTTGTGTTATCTTTTGTATCCCTTTCCTCGATTTTCTCCATAAAACAAAGGGAGACAAGTCTTTTGGTGATTTAACTACGATTATATCCATTTTTAGACTAAATTCCATAAGAATCGGTAATGCGGAAGAGAAAACAATTTGATGGATAGGAAGGATTTACTTCACCAAAAATGACGCAGATTGGTGCAATCATTATCCCCTAGAATTATTCCGGTGATCTCCTCTGACCTAAAAGCCAGGGTTTGACGTTAACAGGCATCGTGGAGACGCAATTCTCCCTCATTATCTTTTGATCATCATTAATCTAAAAACAATGGGTAGCCTATATTCAGAAGGTCAGTAATGATTGTATGACGTCATAGAATTGACGTAATATGCGAAAGAATTAGATCTGAAAGGAATATTCAAAGTATTTGCATCTTTCAACTTTAATTACAACGCTGCTTACATTGTTTCATCTTCATAATTTCCACTGACTGTCTATAACCGTGATTAATTCGTGAGGAGCACGTATAAAGTAGCAATTTATATTTCATCGATTTTTGCAGGTCTTAATTAATGATAAAGCAGGGTAATGTGGTAAAAATGCACTTTGAGGCATATTCTTGCAACGTTGATATAAATGAACAATGCTGACCTTTAATTAGCATTACAAGTTAACCGGCTTTGATATACCAGAATAGATTGTGACGTGTATCGTAGGCGCGTACAATATCAATACAATTTGAATACGATAAATAAATATCTAAAATGGGAAGGGAATTGAATACTAATATCGTACAATGTTGATGCAGACGCTGACGTTTGTTTCGTAGTTGATCTTTTAGAGTTCCGCTCACTGGTTTATAGCCACGATTTTAGATTGTTCGGTGAATTTTTGAAAGTCTGGTAACCAAAGATATTGAAGTCTGCTCGTACCAACATGCGGTCATAGTTGAAAGACGAAAATATCCATTAGTTTTCGAAAAGTTTTAACTTAAAGATAAAGCTGAGTTCTCGTCATGCGATTGCATCGTGAAAGAAACGGTGTGGAATCGATCAAAAAAAAGTTGATCATGTAGCATAGCCTATAAGTATTGGTGTGTAGTGCAAGTTTTGGAGTCGTCAAATTGATAAGAAATTCTGCCCGGTCTTAGTAACGTAACAAGCACTGTACAAAGAAATACGCGTTATCAGGACATTTACCCCCTTGGCAATCACCCCCGGAAGATTACCCCCGGAAAACTACCCGAGGACAATTACCCCCCCCCCCCCCGAGGACTCTCATGGAATAATCTTTGAGGAAAAACATCTTAGCAACGATTGCTCAGATTGATGATGTTTTAAAACTTTGAAATATGTTTAGTTTTTACAACCCCATATTCTGAATAAATCACACTTTTCATTGCGCCATACTATGTGTGTAATATCAACTTTGAAAAGTTTATAACAGGTCTATTACTTCAAACTCATATTGATGATCATATCAATTGAAAGGCCTTAATGAGATAATAAATGATTGGTCCAAAAAATAAATCAAGCATTCTTTACACTCTTAAAAAAAAAATGTAATGCGCGTAGCATCCACCCTTATGTTATTCTTTGTATTTTAGCAAAAGTTTTAGCACACATGCTAAACATTACCCCAAAATGCCATCAAAAGTAAATTTAAAAAAAATCCCGTCTTGGCTGGTCTACTAATGCTTTTGTCGTTGTTAATGCTGAGAGGACATGAATAGCCACATTTCTCACTGCGAGTCATTAGGATTCATGTGCATGACGCACATGTATGTTTAATGTAATCTTTGAAGAGTTCTAATGAGAAAATAGATTTGAGCGAGGTTTGCGGTTAAACCACGTATTCTTTCAACCGGGGGCGTACGCAGGATTTTTTTCAAGGGGGGGGGGGGGGTCTTCAAATATTTTGCTCCCGAAAATTTGAAAATCGCGCCGGCCGAAAAGTCGCTCAGTGGGGGGGGGGGGGGGGCCCGCAGTGGCGTACCTGGGGTACTCCGTCAGGGGGGGGCAAGCGACCGAAACAAACAAAAAAGGCGATGCTAATTTTCACTTCTGGCGAGCGAGCGAGCGAGCAAAAAAAAATCTTTAAGTAACGTTTGGTATATAAACTGGTATTGTTGCAAGTTGGGGTGGGAACATTCTCTTGTTAGCGGCGTTAATTTCATTTTTTTGCAAACGAGCGTAGCGAGCAAGAAAAAAAAATCACTTTTTTTTTAATAATTGCCACTTAACTCTCTTAATTTCTAGGACTTATTTTAAAGTCCAAAGAATTTATTCTAAATCCAATATTTTGCTCCCGAAAATTGAAAATCGCGCCGGCCGAAAAGTCGCTCAGTGGGGGGGGGGGGGGGGGGGGGGGGGGGGGGGGGGGGGGGGGGGGGGAAGCGGACACTTTTTTTTTTTTGGAGGCCAAAAAAAATCGCAACGGCTCAGCCAGCCGAAAAGTCGCTCAGTGGGGGGGGGGGGGGGGGGGAGGGGGTAAGCGGACACTTTTTTTTTTTTTTTGGTCTCGAAATTTCAAAATTTATCTCCTTATTTAGGTTAGCCGTGAGTATAATTTTTTTTAATAAAAAAAAAAAGAAAAAAAAAAATCCAAGGGGGGGGGGGGGGTTTTAGGTTTTTTAGGGGGGTTGACATACATAAAAATACCAAAGGGGGGTTTGAACCCCCAACCCCCCCCCCCACCCTGCGTACGCCCCTGCTTTCAACAGGTTTAGTTGGACTTGGAAGAGTCCCCTCTCAAGCTTTATCTCGACGCTTCGATAGGTTGAACCTGCCATCATCAAGATGAGTGCGTATAGTTGGATAGGTGATTATACTAATGGAAATTAATACAGAGCGTCTTCCAAAGTGTGGGAGGGGGCACCAACAAAAAAGGGCACTTTCAGGGGAGGGGGAAGGCACCAACAAAGGGAAACCTCAAAACAAAATATACATTTTTAAAGACATTACTATGCACCCTATATTGTGATGGGATGGATTTTTGTTGTTATCTTTACATGGTCCAAGATGATGCTTAAGCATCATACTTTGCAAATGGGTGAGATGGTCTGAATATTAATTGGCGAGCGAGCGAAGCGAAAGAGCAAAAATTTAGAAATTGTGAGTCGCACTGCGACCAAGTACAGTATATAAAGGGAAAAATAATCCTGATGGGGTTTTATTGGCACAATATCATCACGAAGGACTGAAAAAACCTTTAATAAGTTAATTTTATGTACAACAAACAGAAATGCGAGCGAACGCAGCGACCGAGCTTTGGGGTAAATTTAATAAGAAGTTCATAGTAACTTTAAATTAGTGGCACATGTTAGGAGAAAGGAAAAAGGGGGCACTTATCAGAATGGAAAAGAACACATATTACAAAAAAAAAAGGCCCGTCAAAGTCCAAGGGCTTTTTTTTT